AAAACATCCAACTCTAATGCCACTATATGGCCTCCACAACTATCCTTTAGTCCTATCCCTGCCCTTTTCCCATATCACATATGATCATCATAGTCCAAATCACATAGAAACATACAAGGGTAAGCTAGAGTAAAAAGAAACAACGTATGTTTAAAATAAAACATCAACAACTTTAATAACATCAACACATCTCATCTCAATTTCAAACTAATCAACATAACTTCTCTTTCTACTACAACATAATATTATCTTAATCATCACATACTTTCAACACGGATTAATCATCATAGCAACAAAATATTTTTAACAAAACAACTATACACATCGTCACACATTTCAACTAGGAGATCTACTACAACACATGGTGAGCAGTTTAAGTGACTTGACCTTACTAAATCGAAAACCTATGGTGATCTTTTTGGGCTTGCTATAATGACTACAAGTGACAAACTAAGTAAAGTATGAAGTCAAAAATTTAGTTCGTAACTGAGTACCGGAAGGGCATAGTATTTGGAGGATAATTGATGGGCTAATTCCATAGGCGACTTCGATAAGTTAGTTAATTTCGTGGTAGGAACAAACCAATTGTTCTACCTTGATACTGGTACTAGGCTTCCTTGTTTAGGTGGTGATACTTAAGAAACCAAGTTGTTATGTTGTAGATTGATATCTAATTTGCTGTTGATCTAATAAGCCAAAAAGATCACCCTGTGGTGTTAGTTCAGTAGAGTCAAGCCACTTTAATTGTTCACCAAGTATTGTAGAAGATCTTCTAGTTGAAGTACGTGATGACGTATCTAATGTTGTTTGGAAGATGCTGTGTTGTATAATCTGCGTTATATATCCTGTGTTGAAAATGTCATGTTGAATGTTAAAGATTTGTGTTGTTTTCGTTGTGGTGTTAAAGTTGATTACTGTGTTGTAATATCTTGAGTTGTTCATGCTAATATATATATATATATATGTGTGTGTGTGTGTGTGTGTGTTGGTTGTGTTGCGAAGTTTGTATTGTGGATAATGTTGAAAGTGAAATAAAAATGTGATGATATATGTAATGTGTCGCACACACACACACAGAGACATATTGATTGCGTTGTGATGTTGAATTGTGGATAGTGTTGAAGATGAAATGAAAATGTGTTGATACATATTATTGTTGATGTTTCATGTTGTATATATGTTGTTTCCTTTAAATTCTAGATTACCCTTGTGTGTTTCCATGTGAATGGATTATGATGATCATACGTGATATGAGAGCAAGATAAAGATAAATTACTCTTGGGAGTTATATAGTGGAGACCACCACAAGGTGTTGGAGTTGTTTGTTCCTTTCTAAAGCTACCCTTGAGTAGAATTCCTAAGTGATGTATAAAAGTTACTTGACCAGTTACTTAAGCTGTATAGTTTACATTTTCCTAGATGATTGTATCTATGTTGTATATGCATACTTTTGTAGTTGATGTGTATATATATATATATATATACACACACACACACACACACACACACAGAGATTCAGGTATTAGTATGCTTTCAATTTTAAGTCATTAGATGATTTTCCACTATTAATAGTGTTAACCATAAATGTAAGGACCATTGATGGGTCGTTACAGATAATGCGTCAGGTCTTAATTGATATGCATCATGTGCACACTTGTTTTTTATGAGTACGATATGAAATACACCACCAAGGAAGACCCCCTTATGTAAAAGATTGGAGATCAATCATTGGAGATAACTAGATTTGGGAAACCCAATTTCACCCATTATGTGCATAGGGTGAAACTTGAGCAGCACAAATGTCCCAATGAGACCCTACTTGTGTGTCCTCCTAGTGTAGAGTGCAATAAGAATATGACTTGGCATGAACTTGTAAACTACTCAGTGTGTTGTCTTATGGCAATACACAGGTGATTTGACTAGCATCACATGCATGAGAATACATAGTCCATTGCATTGTGCATGTGAATGAATCAATGTATTATGAATTATATTGGATCTTGTTGTAAAATATAGTGTTATATTGTGTTACTGCTATATATTACTTGCTTATTGTATTGTTATGTGTGTTTGATTATCTGAATTATATGTCAAAGCTAAGTGAGATATTTCTCACTCCTCGTTTTTTGTATTTATTATTTTTGGATGTTGTTGTAGGTGAGAGTCATCATGATGTCGATGATGTCGACGATGAGGTCTAGTTGTTGCTTTTGGAATTTTGCTCTAATAAATGTGATATCGAAACTTATTTAATATTGTTTCCTTTTGTTATGTTTTGAGACAATTATTATTACATTGTGTTAGATTTTCTTTTCAAGATGGGTATCATTTAATATACTTATTTTAACATTATATTAATTAAATATAATAAATAATATTTTATCACAAAATACTAATTTATTAAGATATTATTATAATATTTTATTACTAACATCAATTAAATAATACTTTAATACTTATTATTACCTTTAATATATATAATTAAAATTATATAAATAAAAATACTATTTAAATTTTGATTAAAAAAATTACATTAACTGCATTGATTAAATACTATCTCAATACTCATATTTTACTTTATGATATATATATATATATATATTATTTTTATTTTTCTATGGTTTATGAAATTTACAATATAATTAAGAATTAATTAAATATTAGTTATAGCTTATTTTTCTATATAACTTTAAAATATTTTGTAAAATTAATAATGAAAAATTTCAAAATATGTAATTAATTTAAAAAAATTTAGTAAAAATTTAAAATAATAATTAAATATGTAAAAAAATCGTTAAAATATAATATATTTGAATTCATTAGTAAACTTAAAACAGTAAAATATTTAAGCATATGTCAGAAGATACGTTAATACGCATATAATTTTTAAGAAAAAAATATTTATAATTGAGTGTTGGAGTTCCAATTTTGAATTCTGAAATACCTATTTCATGGACTTTGAGGACTTTAAAAATGAAAAATCCATACGATATATAAAAGTAGATAATATTTTGGTCTTCTGCTTTTTTAGTTAGATATTTTACTTTTTTATGTCAAAAAAATAAAAAATAATAATAATAATATTTTTAACACATAATTTTTTTCCTTTTTATGCAACAAATGTTTAAGGTGTGTTAAGAAAAAGAATGTTTGTCATAATCTTATAAGGTCTCATATATTTCTAGATTTTTGCAGTACTTAATTCTATATTACGTATTATTTTCATGCTTAGTGTAAGAACTGTTAGAAAAGAATGGCCCAATCCAAGAGGGGGGTGAAGCTAAAATACATAGATGCTAGAGGTAAACTAAGTTGTTTTAAAAGTTGTTTCTGTTGAGCTTAGGAGAGCTTGAAACCTAAAGGAGTTTTGATGATCACAACATAAGTGTACAACAACAACTTACAACTTGGAAGCACAAAAACAAAGTCAAAGAAAAGTCAAGAAAATGCTATGTAATGGAGAAATGTAATAGAGTTTAGACATTAAGTTGTTTTGAATGAGTTTTTATATTGTGTGTGCTTAGTATGCTTTGTGCATAAGCAAATCTATATCTAAAGCTGAGTAGAGAGTATATGATGATGAGTGAAAAGGTTGGAAAGTTATTTTGAGACTTAAAAACGAAGTTTTAAAAACTAACTCAAAATAATCGATTATCGTTAAATATAATTGATTATTCCAGCAACAGGCAAAATGGGATGCCTTCCTGCAATAATCGATTATCCCAGAAACAACTCTCTGGAATAATCGATTATCCAGCAAAATAATTGATTATATTGTTCTTGGTTGATTTCCAGAAAATCTGAAGAACAAAATAATCGATTATTCTTTAAAATAATCGATTATCTGCGTCTGAAACTTTTATAAATAGTTTGAACGGGAGACGTCAAGCCGAGGTGACTAGTGCCAGGGCCAATTTTTTAATTGTTTGGTATCTTTTTTCTGTGTCTTGGAGGACGCAGCTGATGTAATATACGGGAATTTGGTTCTTGTCACGTTCTTGTACCACCACGGCACTGATTGCACTTTCAGCCACTGCCAAGTACAAGAGGAGGTCGGATTGATGATCTGGCCTCTGCAAAATTGGTGGAGTTGCAAGGAAACTTTTGAAGCTCTCGAAGGCCTCCTCACATTGGTCGATCCATTCAAAGTTTTTTGGCTTACGTAGCAAGCTGAAGATCGGTCTTGCTTTCTCTGCCAATCTAGGTATGAAACGAGAAAGAGAGACTAACTTGCCTGTCAGTCATTGGACGTCCTTGACTATTTGGGGACTTTGCATCTGTATGATGGCTCTACATTTTTCCAGGTTGGCTTCGATTCCCCTATTGGTGATCATGAAGCCAAGAAACTTACCTCCCTAGACCCCGAAGACACACTTCTCGGGGTTTAGGTGCATGTTGTGCTTCTATATTTGGTTAAATACTTCAGCCAGGTCGGCAACATGGGCGTCGGCCATGTGGTTTTGACGACCATGTCATCCACGTAAACTTTCATGTTTCGTCTGATCTGTTGGTGGAAGACCTTATCCATCAGCCTTTGATAGGTGGCTCCAGCGTTTTTTAGGCTGAAAGGCATCACGTGGTAGCAGAAGTTGGCATGATCGGTGATGAAGACAGTGTGTTCTTCGTCCGGTGGATACATCATGATCTAGTTGTACCCTGAATATGCGTCTAAGAAGCTGAGGAGGGCGTGGTCGGAGGCTCCGTTGACCAGCCTATCTATGCTCGGTAGAGGGCACGCGTCTTTTGGGCATGCCTTGTTCAGGTCGGTGTAATCGACACACATGCGCCACTTGCCCAAGTTTTTCTTAACGAGTACTACGTTGGCTAGCCAAGTAGTGTATATGACTTCTCGAATAAAGCCTTCTCTCAACAATTTTTGCATTTCAGCCATGATGGCTTCTCGTCTTTCTCCACCGACTTTGCGTTTTCTCTGAGCCACTAGTTTGGCTTCTTTATGGATCGCCAACCTGTGACAAATAAGGTTAGGGTCTATACTTGGCATGTCAGCGCTGGACCATGCAAAGAGGTCAATGTTTTTGGAGATTTCGGCTACAAGTTATTGTCGCAACTCCGTGCTCAAATGTTGGCTTATCTTGGTGCACTGTTGTCAAAAGTTCCTACCTATGTCAGATATCCCAGATTCTCAAGTATGGGATAAAATTCCTCGGCCCACAGACAAACTGTTTAAAGAACGCGATAGAAATTGCATAAAAAATGGAAGACAAACAGAATTTATTTATTGATTAATTGTATCTATACAAAGAAATCCCTGGATATTTGAGTGATCCAGGTCTCTCCCTTGTCTCAATTCTATTTTCACCAAATGTTCCACGTCAATGTTCTGGATGTTTGAACTTCAAAACATCATGTTCAACGCAACAAACAGGACCTCTACAGCCCAATTAACTTTCAATCCTACAGTGTCAAACACAATTATGTGAGTGGTGCTGCCTCCATTCTTCTCTTTTGCTTGATTTTCTGCAGTATTTTTGGCCATGAACAGAGCATCTAAACCTCTATAGTTTTATTGGAAAGATCCCATGGCTCTCTAGCCAACTGCACTAATACACACAATTGTAGCTGATGATTACCAAGTTCCTCTGCTTTATTTTGCTGGACCTGGCCCATTAGGACATCCAAACCCCATATTTTGCTGTAAAGAAGGTTGCATCAGATTGGGTTTGAAATGATTTTTGTTTTGTCGAAGAAGAGAGGTTTCATAGGGTGTTTTAAAATTCTTTTTTATTTTCTAATTTTGTTTTAAAATTATTTTTTTTTTCTAATTCTGTTTTAAAATTGTTATTTTTAATTCTATAACTCTTAATGTATAACGTTGTGACTTGGTATGGATTAGTCACTTAAAATGCTCAACTTTAGTTATAGGAGATCTCTATTAGTTGACATGCATGACAACGCATTAAATGCTAATATTTTGTTTGAGTTGTTCATTATAATAAAGTTGACAAATGTTGAATAAGTTGTTAAGTTGTGTGTTGTACCATGTTGATCATTGCTTTTGTTGTTTTATCGTGTTGTTGATATTGTTTTTTTCATAAGCTTACCCTTCTTTTCCTTGTGGTTGGGACTAAGATAACCATACTTGGTATACGAGCAAGGCATGATTAGGTGGTTGGATTACAAGATGGCGATTGTTTTGTGTGATTCCTCTGATGGAGTCATATTTTGGAGTCCTCAATGTAACACCTCAGTTTTCAAAAAGGTTATTATTATTATTATTATTAGATGGTAATTGGTCATAATTATTTTAATAATTATAGAAAAATATTATTTTGTACGTGTTAAATAATTAGTTTTGGACAATTATTTTGTACGTATTCAATAAGTATTTTTATTAGCATTTTTTTAAATAAATATTTATATGTTTTAAGTGAAGGTTGATTTTATATGATATTTTATTATTGATATTATATTATTATATGTTAGGGTGAGAAATATATTATTATTATAGAGGAAAAATATTTTATAATATACATGTATTTATTTTATTTAATTATTTTGAGGAAAAAGAGAAGTGGGTTAGAAGAGAAGGAAAATGGGTTGGGTTGATCCAACCCAATGGATTAATTTTAAGAAAGGAGTCAGGTAGCGTTAACCCTATCTGTTGTCTCATTTGCGTTCTAGAGGGTTAGGTAAAAAAAGAGGAGAAACAAAGAGTTCTAAGAGAAGAGTACTCAGGAACGATCTTAGATCACACCAAGATCATTCGTCTTCTACTCATCCAGGTAAGGGGAAGTGAGAAACCTTACTCTGGGTGTGGGAATGTATGTTGGGTAGTGGGATTGGCCTCCAATCTTGTGTTTGTTGTATGCTCATGTATGAGGGGTTTTCCCCAATTGTATCTGTTTCATCTATTGTTCCTCTCGTATGTAATTAATTGTATAAATTGTTTGAATGAATGATTAGTTTCAGTTTTAAAATTGTAATTGTATGATTTGATATTTCTGTGGGTTCCTATGGGAAACCCTATGAGAAAACGGGCAAAATATGAATGTTTTCTGTTTTGCCTCCTGATTGCTTTGTTGTGTTCCTTGTTGAATGTGATGCATGAGTATGTGTTTAATTTTGAAAATGAATATGTTTTTATATGAATTAGAGTGCTCTATGGGTTCCTACGGGAAACCCTATGAGAAAACGGGTAAAATAGGAATGTTTTCTGTTTTGCTTTCTGATTTTTTCATTGTGTTCCTTATTGAGTGTGATGTATGAATATGTATTTGATTTCAAAATTAGATAAGTTTTAATATGAATTAGAGTGCTATGTGGGTTCTTGAGAGAACCTTGTGAGAAGCAAACAAAATATGAACATTTTCTATTTTGATTCCTGATTCTTCTGTTGTATTCCTTGTTGAATAACATGTATAAAAATATGTTATTAATTTTGAAAACAGATAAGTTTTGATATAAATTAGAGTGCTCTATAGGTTCTTTTGGGAAACCCTATGAGGTAAATTTAGGAATATGATCTATGCATGATTTAAGACATTATATGTAATGTTGATGATAGCTTCATGTTTTAGATAAGTTCTTGGTATGATTTATGTATTATTTTGATGTATATGATGATGAGAAGTTTCTTCATGAGACTATGGGAATATGATGTGAGAAAGTGAAAGGTGAACATATGATCATTGATATGACATTATGACATAATATCACATGAGATATGATGAGATGTGAAATGTGAAGTGAAATGTGAAGTGTTGAGTCAATGTAATTGTGAATGTGAGGCATGTATCATATGCATATATGACTTATGCCAGGTGTGCTGCTTAGGCCGTATGTTTTAAGAGAAGGTTGATTTTATATGATATTTTGTTATTGAAATTATATTATTATATTTTGGGTCAGAAATATATTATTATTATAGAGGAAAAATATTTTATAATATACATGTATTTATTTTATTTAATTATTTTGAGGAAAAAGAGAAGTGGGTTAGAAGAGAAGGAAAATGGGTTGGGTTGATCCAACCCAATGGATTAATTTTAAGAAAGGAGTCAGGTAGCGTTAACCCTGTCCGTTTCTACAATTTTGGCCTCCACTCTCTACTTCGTTCGCTCAGGTTCGTTTGTTCGTGCTTAGGGTTCAGGCTTCTTGCTTCATTCGTTCCTACTGGTCTTCTTCGTTCCTTCATTCGTGCTTAGGGTTTCTACTGGTCTTCTTCGTTCAGGTTAGCAGAGACAGCTCTCCGTTCGAGTATGCAGAGAGGTTCGCGAATATTGAAGAATCTCCATCACTGCAATAGCACATAGACCCATATGCTTACCCGCGTTGCAGCCCCTTCTCCTTCTCCGTGAACAACATTAGGTGCGGGAACCAGATCGGCGCCAAGTTCTGGGAGGTGATATGCGACGAGCACGGCATCGACCACACCGGCAGGTACAGCGGCGACTCCGACCTCCAACTCGACCGCATCAACATCTACTACAACGAAGCCAGCGGCGGAAGGTACGTCCCACGCGCCGTCCTCATGGATCTGGAGCCCGGCACCATGGACTCCGTCAGATCCGGCCCCTGCGGCCAGATCTTCCGCCCCGACAACTTCATCTTCGGCCAGTCCAGCGCCGGCAACAACTGGGCCAAGGGCCACTACACCGAAGGCGCTGAACTCATCGACTCTGTCCTCGACGTCGTCCGCAAAGAAGCCGAGAATTGCGATTGCTTGCAAGGTACTGATTCATGATCCATTCATTCGCTCCTTCTTCATTCGGTTGTTAATCGGTGATTGTTATTGTTGTTGTTGATGTAGGGTTTCAGGTGTGTCATTCGCTTGGGGGAGGGACTGGCTCCGGCATGGGGACGTTGCTAATCTCCAAGATTCGGGAGGAGTATCCCGATTGCATGATGTTGACGTTTTCCGTGTTTCCTTCGCCCAAGGTTTCCAACACTGTTGTTGAGCCTTACAATGCTACACTTTCCGTTCACCAGCTTGTTGAGAACGCTGATGAGTGTATGGTTTTGGACAATGAGGCTCTCTATGACATATGCTTCAGGACTCTCAAGCTCGCTACGCCCACGTGTGAGTTGATTTCTGGTTTTTTTTTTGGATTTGTTGCTTGCTGTGTTTGTTGAGTAATGATTGCTGGTAGTATCTGGTTTTGGGTTGAATTTTGGAAGTTGGGGTTGGGTGTCGTTGTGTTGGTGGGGCCGTGCGGTTAGGTTTTGTGTCTTGCTCGATGCTAATGGTGGGTGGGTGGTGGTGTTTCACTTCTGCTGTCGATTTGGTTTACTGTCGCAGTTGCAGGGTATCTTAAACCACAACATTGTGGTGAAAATTGCAGTTGTGGACTTTAATTTCAAATCACAGTTCTTCTATCAATGAAAAAAATTGTCAAAAGTTCCTACCTATGTCAGATATCCCAGATTCTCAAGTATGGGATAAAATTCCTCGGCCCAAAGACAAACTGTTTAAAGAACGCGATAGAAATTGCATAAAAAATGGAAGACAAACAGAATTTATTTATTGATTAATTGTATCTATACAAAGAAATCCCTGGATATTTGAGTGATCCAGGTCTCTCCCTTGTCTCAATTCTATTTTCACCAAATGTTCCACGTCAATGTTCTGGATGTTTGAACTTCAAAACATCATGTTCAACGCAACAAACAGGACCTCTACAGCCCAATTAACTTTCAATCCTACAGTGTCAAACACAATTATGTGAGTGGTGCTGCCTCCATTCTTCTCTTTTGCTTGATTTTCTGCAGTATTTTTGGCCATGAACAGAGCATCTAAACCTCTATAGTTTCATAGGGTGTTTTAAAATTCTTTTTTATTTTCTAATTCTGTTTTAAAATTATTTTTTATTTTCTAATTCTTTTTTAAAATTGTTATTTTTAATTCTATAACTCTTAATTCTGTTTCTTTTATAAATTCTGTTGTATTTTTAATTATATTTTATATTACTATTTTTATTGTTTCCTTTTAAATTATAATTTTTAATTCTATTCTTTTTTGTTATATTTTAAATTACATTTCTTCATTCTGTTTTTTAGTTTTCTTACTTAATTAATTATGCTTTTTCATTTTGCTATTCTTGTAATTCTGTTAAACATAATTTCTTTCTGCCATTGGCAGGAAAATTTAGGAAAGCACCAACTGATGTCACTTGAATGTGCTAACCAGGTAGCAAATGAACGGGTAAGGTTTTCCTTCCGATATGATATCCTAGAGTTGAGCTTGAAAGAACTAATAAAGTTCGGTATTTCACATGCCAAATGTCAATGCCTGTATTGCTTGTTCATGCCAAATATATAGAGGGGAGAGAACTGGTGCAGATATTGCTTGCAGCTGGAGCTGATCCATCTGCTCAAGATTCACAAAATGGGAGGACAGCTTTGCATACTAGTGGACAGGCATAAAAATGAGGTGAAGAAACATTAATGTTGTAGGAGTAGTATTTTCTTTTCTTGGTAGCATGTTGCATCGGTGAAATGTGAAGTGAAATGTGAAGTGTTGAGTCAATGTAATTGTGAATGTGAGGCATGTATCATATGCATATATGACTTATGCCAGGTGTGCTGCTTAGGCCGCATACCAGTGATGTAACAGGCAATGTGATGAATGACTTATGCCAGGTGTGCTGCTTAGGCCGCATACCTGTGATGTAACAGGCAATGTGATGAATGACTTATTCCAGGTGTGCTGCTTAGGCAGCATACCAGTGATGTAATAGGCAATGTGATGAAATGACTTATGCCAGGTGTGCTGCTTAGGCGGCATACCAGTGATGTAATAGGCAATGTGATGAAATGACTTATGTCAGGTGTGCTGCTTAGGCGGCATACCAGTGATGTAATAGGCAATTTGATGAAATGACTTATGCTAGGTGTGCTGCTTAGGCGGCATACTAGTGATGTAATAGGCAATGTGATGAAATGACTTATGCCAGGTGTGCTGCTTAGGCCGCATACCAGTGATGTAACAGGCAATGTGATGAAATGACTTATGCCAGGTGTGCTGCTTAGGCCGCATACCAGTGATGTAACAGGCAATGTGATGAAATGACTTATGCTAGGTGTGCTGCTTAGGCCGCATACCAGTGATGTAACAGGCAATGTGATGAAATGACTTATG